CCGCAGGGCTCCAGCAGGGCTTTGTCCTGGGCCAGCGTGACTCTGTTGACAGCCAGGGCAACCCATTATGTATTGAACTACAGCTTCCCATGTAGCCTGGGAGAGGCTTTGCTGGCCAGGATGCCTGTATTTTTCTTGAAATCTTCACAAAATGCGTCACTCTGACAGTAAGAACTCTCCAGAGATGAGAGCAGGAGATGTGGTGTGACATTTAGGCCAAAGTATACAAAAGCCTGATTAGATACGATTTCAGTGGAACATAATCAACCTTCCGTATCTGAAGGAAGGCAAACTATTTGTGTACCCTTCTGCCAGGCAGACCATCTGCTGGCTATTGTAAAATACGAGGAGAACCACCTTTATTAGGAGGATCACATTTTGTATTTGGGGGACCAAATGGCAAACACCCTGCTCCTGTTCTGTCTCTCACCTTTGCCTTATTCATCTTGCAATGAAATGATGTAAATGTGTGCAGGAAAAGTGTTGGCAGCTGTGTATCTGTAATGCCTATCTCAACGTGCAATGTTATTATCTACAATCCATTACTTTTTGATTCTTTTCTCTCTGCCAGGAGTTCAAGGAAAGAAAATCCATTCCATTCTGAATAAAATAACAGGCAACCCCAATTTAGTGGAGATCTCATCAGTTCACCCAGGCACACAGTGTTAGAAAATTATATAGGGAAAGATGTCCATAATAAATCATCTTAGGCTTTTGTGACTATGGTGTATTTATAATGATGACAATGATATTACATACATGCAGAGTACCTTTCATCCAGTAGGCTCCCACACTTTACAAAAAAAAAAAAAAATATATATATATATATATACCATAAATATATGTATATAATTATATATATAACTTATAATGTCATGCCTGTGCAACATCAAAATACATTATTTTAAAGCAGCTTTGACTTAGAAGCCTCAAAAGTACCAATGGCTTCTTGTTAAAACTGGAGACCTTACAAAAAAAAAAAAAATCCGCTCTGATGCAAGATAAATTCTTTGCAATCCCATTCTTTCAGAGACTGAGTTTGTGAGAAACCAATTATATTCCAGCCTCCATCCCTGAAAGCACTTAAATGCACACTGTACTTGGCAAATGTGCATCACCCATTTGAATGCAACACATTAGCTGAAGATAAGCGTGTGCTTAAAAGTTCCCTGGACTAAAATAAGGAAGCTTCATTTCTTGGAGATTCAAACTCTCAGCAAAGAGGGAGGAGAGGCAGGGAGTCTGTTCATTGGTTCTCAGATTTAAACCTATTGGTTGTTGCTACAACTAAAGAAAAATGCAACAAATCTTGGCAAGAAAATTAGTTTGCTGTGCTAGCTGGAAATACTTGCATTTTTATCCTGAAAATAAATATTCTGAATGCATTAATGCTTTTGTGTGTCATCCTGCTTGTGTGATGTGAAATGGAGACTATGTGAGCATGCATAGGGCGGCTTGATTTAAAACCTCAGGCTGTTTCCCTTGTGTTCATCTGTTTTCTCTGGGTTTTGGCGCAATCCGATGCATTCCAAAGCCAAAGGCTTGTTTTGAAGAGCCCTGAAGGTAAGGTCTCAGGTAGGAATGAGTTAGTAGAAGTAAATCTTAGCTGCCTTGTCCTCTCCAACTTTGTATACACTGCAGACAGGAATAGTTAGATCACCTGAAGCACCTGCATAATGTCACCATAGGAAAGAAGTACTGCCCACCCAGGATGGGGCACTGCCTCACAGCAGCAGGCAGGAGTGTCTCTGCTCAGCTTGTAGTGAGTGGAAATACAGCCTAGTTTACCATACACGTGGTAAGAAGGGAGATGCCCTACCAGTCTGCATCCATGCTCCAAAACCATGGTGGAATTACAACATATACCAGCCACGCAGGAGCCATTGGAAATGGCTTAGGTAAGGATGAGGGTGCGATCATGGTAGGGAAGGCAGGACAGCCTTTCCCTGCCACCCCCGCCCCAAAGCAGAACCTGCCCCACTGCTGGTGAGGCTGAGATGCCTGTGCTGCTTTCATGCTTTCCTGAGACATGAATAAAGAAGGTTTAGCCACCGTTCATTCGAGCAGCTGTGTGTTTGCTCTCTTCTCATAAACAGGAATGGGAGGATTCCATTCCTATTTTTAAAGGGTGAACCAACCCCCAGATCTTTCCACCTCTGGGACAAGGAGATGGGAATACATCACTGAACTGAAACTGCAAGAAACATTTCAGAAGCAGTATGTCATCTCAACCCGGGGCTTGGCTGGAGCTCAGCCTAACGCCTCTGCTCCTGCTGAAGCTGTCGCGATCCTGGAGGATGCTCCTTGGCAAGATGCTGTGGTTGCAGAATGGCCCATCATGTGCTGGAAGAATGATACAGCCAACTTTGCACAGCTGCTTTCAGTAAGAAACTCTCCTCTCCACAGCATCCTGATGGTGCCTTCCCACATGAAACCCAGAACATTGTCAGCCTTTCCCATTGCGGGTTAGTTTTCAGGTATGCCTCTATTTAGAAACATTTGGCACTATGGTTTAATATTTCTTGAGTGTAGGAATGGCTGTAACTTCACAGCTGCACATTTTTAATAGGTTTGGTTTTACAGAAAGTAGTTTTATTTGGAGAGAAAAACAAAAGTAATTGGAGTTTGGCTGGGGATCTACATGGACTAAAGTGACTCGTATTTTCTTGTAGCACAAAGCTACCCAATGTAAACAGGACTAAAAAAAGCCCACAAGGAACACAGACATATTCTCTCGAAGGTTTCTTCAGCCCAGAGCTTGTAATTAAACAACAAAGGTGCACTAATAGACTTGTGTCACCCACTTAGCACACACTGATAATTCAGTCTCACCCAAACACTAATACACACAGATGTAGGAGGCTAAATTTGGAATAGCCTGACTACAGTATTTTAGAGAGCTTCACCGTCACACGTCAAATAAACACTGTTGCCAAGATGTGAGTCAAGCATCATTTTTAGTAGGCAAGCTGGACTGATCAAATGTCTGAAAAAATCAAACTTGCATAGAATTAGTTTATGAAGCTGTATGACATTAAAACATTAAAGTGAATAATTGGCAATTGGTTAAATCACAAGCAGTGTTTTCTTGGTTCTTAGTGAGTTTGCAACTTCTGTGGCAAAACACATGGTGATATTAAAGGCATTGGTTTTACAGATTTTTTTTTAGGAAAAGGGAAAAGTGGGCAGAGGGGAAAGGGGAAATGAGAAAAGAATCACAGAGCATGTCCTTGAGCCTAGAACATAACGTTGGATCTTGCATGGACCTGTAGGAAGTGTTAAATGATATGTAGGCGCCCCTTGGGCCTCGTTTGCAATGGGCAAACACTCTCAGCAGCATGAAGCATGCGTTGAAAATTGAAGCGTGTTGCAGAACTGGATGTGTTCAACCTTGTAAGTAACATGGCCAAGGAGGATGGTCACACATCTGTACACAGGGAACTGACCTTTCTTCCCTTTCAGGTAAGAGCTGTTTCATTTCCTTTAGAAACAAAGAATAGGGTAAAACAAGTCAAAAAATGCTGCAACTGTCAGTAAAGATGTTTAAGATGAACCCTCACATGATGATAAATATACATAGAGAAGCATGTAAATAGTCTGGGCCCCAAGCTTTGCAGATATCATCTAAGCAGAGGAAAAGCTGACCCTGCAGTTACTGGCTAGCACCAAAAAAATGCATGTGTAAAAGTGAATATATGCAGATATGTATAAAGGTTTTGCTGATTAGTTACAATTCTAATACTACATTTGTTTCAGTATTAATCTAAATCTAAGTAGATGGCTTTGGAAGAAAAAAAAAAAAAAAAAAAAAAAAAGAATGAAAACTAAAGGATACGTCTTTGGTGAATCCATTTCTCCAGGAAATAGTTTAAATTTGTTGTTGTAAATATTTATACATTCACATTGCTGAGCCAAGGAAAACTCACAAAATTAAATCTGTAGGTTTTTTTTAAGCTTTAGGTGTGGTTTATAATCTGTTCAAAAGAATGAGAACTGTAGAAACTTGTCTTTTCTTGGGGGAGATACCAGCATAAACATCATAACATCATGTTGATTTTGTGTCATTTATATTAAATTGTGTGAGCACTACACCTCCACTGTCAGCAAAATATCCTGAAACATACGAAAAGTTTTTCTGGAAAGAATTTTTCAGAAACTGATGGCATGTACAGACATTCAAGTCTCTTATCTCTCTTTTAAATGCATTACAGTGTCCTAATTGGAGGAAGTATGTAGCAGGTTGGGGGAGACCAGGCGGAGCAGAGCCCTGTCTTTAGCTCAGGGAATTTTAATCCAGCTTATTATATTATTTATAATTAGACCAACATCTGTAAATGTCAAAATCCTTTGAGAGAAGTAGGATTACCTGAGAAGGCAAATAAGGGTTCAAACAGCATTGTCCATATTGCAAATCCATGGGATAAACCTGTCCATGCAATAGGTCCCTCCTCATTTCCTGCAAGGAAAACACGCTTGCTAGCAGAGCTCCAGAGCCTACAAACCAATAAGTGCCTCCTCCAGCATTTGCAGCAGCATGATCTACTGTTGAACTGTTAGAGACTGGACTCTGCCATCTGGAGAACTTGCGGTATGTATGTGGTATCCCTTCCCTGAGAGTTATCTTGCTCTGCTCTCAGGGCACGAGAAACTTCTAGAGTCATTTCCGGGCTTTATATTTAACATTAAACACGGATGGTATCTTTTATGTTATCTAAATATTTTGTTTATACGTTTGCAGCATGTGCAAAATGTGTTTTCCCTTGTTTTCTGCTTTCTGGGATAATTTAGAATATTTCCCAAAAAGCTATGCAACCCCAAGCCACCTGCCAGATTCCCATGCATTATAATATTTTCGGCCAGCTGCTGTGGTAGCTGTTCATGCCAAGGGCAAGAATTCCATTTGCTCCGTTTTTAGCTTTCGTGCAGTCCAAAGTCTTTCAGCCTCTGTCATACTGGGAGCGTAAGGCCTGAATCAGCAAGAGTTAAAATAAAAGGTCAGACTTCTCAGAGCTGGTAACCAGTTGGTGGAGCCCAGGGATCGTGTCCTGGTTACGCACAATGCCTCCCCTTCCTCCTCTCCGCACTGCTCTGTCCTTGTCCTTTGCTGGGGACCTTCCAGGCAGGACAGTGAATGTATAGGCATCGTGATCCCAGGAAAGATTTTTGGCAGAAGTTACTGACATGGCTTATTGCTGGGAGCTGGTAGTGTACCACTGTCTGGGCCATTCTTAACCCCAGCTCTGCCACACAAATGCAGCTGAACTGGGTGAGTTGGAAGTGTTTCCTGTTTCAATAGTTAATATTGGCCTTGCCACACTTTTTTTTTTTTTTTTTTAGTATATAATTGGATATCAAATAGTATTTTATTAGTTTTTTTTTTTATTATTATTATTATTATTTTTTTCTGATGCCTAACAGTTTTAAATAGTTTGCTCTTTTCTGGTGGCCACACCACTTCCACGTCAGAGTATACAGAGATATTTGGGAGTAGCCTACTTCCAAATGACCATTTGTTTTGGGTGCCCGGTTCAAAACATGTGCTGGGTATGGGGTTTTGATTCTTCAGAAATTCCTGACATTCCCCTCTGGAAGTCAGATGTCTCAGATTTTTTTCTGAAAAAGTCAGTCCACAGTGTTCCAGGAAAATATTTAATCACATGCATGTTCACAACACAGAAAAAATACCATTGCAGCCTAAAGAACTTATTTCTGTACAGTGCTGATACAACGGCTGGTCATAATTAATGACCCTGTAGGCACTGTTAGAAAGCATTGTAAATGTGCACGTACAGAGACTTCCTTCTCAAAAGAGGTTTGGATCTGAATAAAGTCATCTCAGATTTGCTGAGAGAATTCAACTCAGTCAGTATTTTCTTTTGGGTTCTGATCTCAGAAATGGCACCACTGTCCAGAGAAAGAGAAGCTGGATGGAAGAAGTAGATAAGTAGATAGAGAAATATCATCCATGGCTTCACTTGCAGCCCTTCAAAATATGTGTTCAATGTGCACTGGGGATGCTCAGCAGCACCTGGCCAGATTGTTTTTTGTCTGGAGGGACAATGGGAGTTGTGAGGCAGAGTTGATCCAATGGCACATCCAGATATTTCCCTATCTAATGATTTTCCAAAGCCCAAATGACCACACTTCACAGAATTCAGGGCTGTGCAACTGCTGCCTATTGAGGAGCATCTGGAGCATCTCAAAGAACAGAGATTGGGCTTTTTGCATGACATTAAAAATTTAAATTCACTGTGACTTTGGTGAGCAATAGATTACAGCAGCATGTGTGTAGTCATAGCAAAACTACACAAAAGGAAAGGATGCCTCTGAGGTAAATGTGTTAACTGCTTGTCCCTTTTTACAGTGGTTGCTGAAAGGGGCAACTTCCTGTTTGTTGTTTTGATTTCAGTTTAATTTCTTTTTTGTTTTGTTGGCTGATGGATTCAAAGACTGACTTGGGGTACTCTACTGCTAGGGAGAGGAAATCTGGGGAACATGGCTGTGAAAGCAGGACAGGGCTCCTGTGTCATCCTCTCTTTCTTGTTTTTCAGTCCTTTCCATCTTCGTAGATCTCCTTCAAGGTACTCCAGATTTAGCCCTTTGTCACATCTACAGTAGACATAAAGACAGTCATTCTCAGGAAGAAGTGCAGGGCTAAGGAAGTTTGAACACTTGGACTGCAAACATAAAACCGTTCTGTTTTCTTCCTTGTGGGTATGTTAATCCAAACAACCTGTTAAAAAGCTGAGCCAGTTCTCACATATTTAATCATGTGTTTTATTTGGGCTTTGTTGTTATTTATTTATTTATTTATTTGTAATCTCTGCAAGTCTGAACAATAGATCCTGTTCATTCCTACCTTTTTCTTGTTTGTGCTGGCCCTGCCTATTATCTGTGAAGCATCTCTCCCTGGTGAAGTAAGTGGTACTTCAGTGGGAATTCTTCAGCAGAAATGCCAGGGCAGAAACAGCATGACCATTTGTCTTAAAAAATAATATTAAAAAAAAAAAAAGGATAAAGTACAAAAAAGAAATTCCAACTGCAGTTTTGCAGAAAATCTTTATTTCTGACCACTTCTCCTATATGGTATTTCCTTGTCTCTTCCTTTCATATCTCTCTCCCCTCCAGCTATGATTTATTAAATAAATGCCAAAACATTTTATTTTTCTTATATAATGCCTCCCACCCCCCCCCCACCCCCCAAAAAAAAAAAAAAGCAGTATACATCCTAGCAGTTATCTGCTTCGTGTCATATTTTAAAGTATTATTCTTACCGCACAGGAGTGGAAGACTCTTTCAGAACCACTTGGGAAGTAAGCAGTTTTTTCCATTAATTTCCACAGGCTTTGAACCAAACCTTTACCTTGTAAGATGTCTCTCTGCTCTCTCTGCTGCAGTCACGGCCAACAGTCATAACAAATTCATGGCAAACTGGATTGGCTGTTTTGGTGAAAAGTGTTTAGTCACAGAGTGTATCTGAAAGGTAGCACACCTGCTTTCATCTTCTCAACCTCCAAACTCAGAGTATAGGGTGGTCTGGGTTTGCTTTATAAAGTGTGTGCACAAATATACATAGCTGCATTTTAACAGCATAGAGTAAATCTTGTGTTCTGATGCACCCTTACCTTGAGTGGGATTTCACTCTGTCAAATCCTGTTTGTTTTGATAGAGCTTATTGGATGATTAACTGAAAGACATGAGTAAGGTTGAAACATTGTGGTTCTTCAACCATTTTTTTAAATGTATAAGGTAGGACCCAAAGCTTATGGAAGAAATCATTAACATAGAATTATTTATGTTGGGAAGATCCTCTGGTTATCTAGTCAAAAAAAAAAAAAAAAAAAAGGTATCATTCTGTTGTTTAATTATAAATTTAACTTCATATTCTTTTCCCAAGTCCTGAAGAACACTCAGATATCTCATTACTGGGATAGACCATGCAAGTTATTAAATGAAGGCATCTAGAAACTGCTTAACCAGAGCTTATTCCCACTTGTGTTTGATGACACTTCACAGAGCCCATTCATGAGACACCTAAGGGTGGGAACACAATAAAAAAGCAGTTTCTGTCTTGATGAACTGCAGCAAAATGTACCTGAATAGACTGACTGTAATTCATCTCCATCAGAATGAGAGCTGGGAGTTGGGTCTTACAAGAAATTGCAAATGAAATTTGTAATCTCAAAAATTAGTAGCATTTGTTTTATTGTGTCCCACATGTAATGACATAATGCATAAAATGTCCATTAAGCTTGGAAAAAGACTTTTTTGGGTGTTGTATAAGTTTTAGTGAGTATTAGCAAAGCCTATTGTTGTAGCACATAGTTCCTGCAGTTGCACTAGTATACCTGAAAAGTTTTTGACCTTTTTATCTTCTCAAATGTACTTAAAATGGTATTCAAATGTGAAGTGCAGTCCCAAATCTCAGACTTCATTTTGAGTGCTAACTTCTACTCACTGGCTGCCAGGATTTACTCCTTTGCAGCCCAAACATTCCTGGGCAGGAAGCTTCATGTCTGCCCAGCCTGTGGTTTTTCTGATTTGTATATGAAGTACTAGAGGGACTAACTGGTTTGATGGATGAGAGGTGTCAAAGTTAGACCATATGGCCTGCTTGGTCTCTGCCTGTGTCTGCAATTGCAAGCAAAAATATGCTGCTTTTTTTCCTCCCTTTGGAGTTTCTTTCAGGGATCCCATTACTGTGTATGCTTTTACAGAGTCTATAGTAATGGAGAGGCAGTTAAAATAAATCCATGGGGTTTAAAGTTGGCAGCTAGAGCATGCCTATACAACCCTGTATAGAGTTGTATGTGAACTAGTCTTTTGTCTTGAACTTGATGACATGATGTCTGTTGAGGACACAGATCTTGTAGCCTTCCTCCCATCCCAAATTTCTTCAGATGCTCCAATCTTAGTTCAATCAACAATGATGTCTTTGATGCTTAAAGTCAGAATTTTTTATTGTAGTTAGATCTCTGTCTCATACAGATACTCCAAGACAGCCAAAGAGTATGTAAAGGAGATTATAACTAGCTGTCCAACTTCCAGTGCTGATTAACTAGTTTGCATCTTTTTAAGCTAGAGCAAGCCTTCCTGCAATACAGCAATGAACAGCCCTCCCAACCTGACCTCAGGAGAGCTGTGGTGTTAGCACATCCTCAGAGATGAGAGGACAGTCTCGCTGGTAGCATACACTTTCTGCAAGAGACTGGAATCAGCAGATCTAGAAAACAAATACAAGCAAATCCTGATGTGTTTGTTGATATAGCTTTAAAGCTCAGATGTTCAGACGGAATAGTGGTACCTCCTTCTCTGTGCTGATAGCTGCACTACAGTAAGAGATGAGAAAATACATATGTGTATGTTATTTATTTTACTTTTAGTGTAAATGCTTTGATTCTTATGACAAGAATATGTAGTCCTCAAAAGCTAAGGTAATGTTCAGAGTTAATCTAAAAATCTGAGGAAGGGCCCAGGGACTAAGATACAAGACATGTTGTGTGATTGAGGTTACATCTCAGACCCAAGGAAAAGGGGTCATGCCAGAAGCAGCAGCTGAAGCTATAGGGAAAGCCACCAGGTTAGTGCGTGCTACCAGTGGGCACAAAGGTGCTCTACTTCATGCTGTGAGAATGAAGCTGGGAGGGGGTGTTCACCTTATCACGGGAAGGCGTGTTTGAACATTCAGGAGAGTGTATCTGTTTTTTAGTTACAATTTCATGCAAAATAATCCATGTTTCACAGGCTTTTCTGCATACCCTCAGTGATGATTGTGAATTGTCCATTAAAAATATGATACCTTAGTATAGTGGATGCCAGCCCACAGGATTTTGCTTATGTGAAGACAGGTATCATGCTGGGTCAGAAGGATTAATTGAGCTCTTTAGAATTCCCTTTGATCCGCACCTGAAATACGCCATATAATACCTCTGCCCTGATTATATTTTAAATCTCAGTTCCTCAAACATTTGGACTCTGCACTGTCCTCCCAAAGGGCAAATGCAAGCTCATTAATTTTGGGGGTTTTGCTTGTATCAGCTCCTTTATTTTAATACCACTCAACTATTACCTGGTCAATTTGGTTCCACTTACTGTACCAAAAAGTTGGGGTTAGCACTTAGAGCGAATGTTATTTCTGATAACTCTATTCATCATTTTGGCACTTACCCAAAAGATACAATTAAATCTCTATTAAAACATTGGGATTCTGGAACACCAGTCTTTCATAGATCATTTCATCAAGAGTCTCAAATAACTAATTGCTTGTAAAGAGGATGAGCCAAAGCCACTGGTGGGTATTTATGCATGTATATAAAAATGATGTGTATGAGATTTTTTATGCTCTCACAGGTGGACTTTTTCAGGCTTTTTTTTTTTTTTTTTTGTAAAAGGTTAAACATATGGTTAAATTAATGTATGTTTACATGTTCTTAGATGTTCTACTGAAGGAAAAAGGACAAAAAGTTTCAATGGAAACTTTCTATGGTTAGGTCTAATCATTTTTAAAAAATGCTGGCTTTATAGCTCTGTAAGATTTGCAAGCAGATGTATTCAAATCAGTCAACTTCTATTACAGGTAACTATGGGGTAAATATAAGGGTAAAATAATTCAAAAATGGATTCAAAAATAATTCAAAACAATGAGAAAAGACAAGGCTTCAACAAGGAAAGAAAAAAGATATATTCATTCAAACTTTACAGAAACAAAGGAATAGACTATAAAACATCGTTCTTTACCTGTGTTCAAATTAATGTATTTACATGAAAACTTTTGTAGTGTTTCTTAAGTAAGTAATAAATCTAAATTATGTTACTGTCCATCACACCAAGTAGAGACCGACCACTTCAGTACCCTTTGCTACTATATAAATGCACTTCACTAGTTAAAGTCCAAAGTGAACAAGACCCTAACAATACTTACTTTTCTATTTAAATGAGAGCAGATATTTCTTCTGCACTTACATGCATGTACGCACGTAACAGATATTTTCTTTGTGTTCCTTTTCACAGCTCTTACTTATGCAGGACATGATCTGTGCACATAGATACATATTCTGGCAGCAGTACAAAAAAGGTGCAAGCAAATGTGTAGAGGGTGTTTTTTGAGAATCAAACCCCTGGAGCTACAGCCTTTTGGGAACCTGGCAACTATATGCAACACCACACTGGTCTGTTTTTGAGATGGATGTTCTGTTCCAGAGCCTTCATGTGAGATCCATGTCAGCTTTGCATATCCAGCTTGATTATGCTCACAAAAACAATGCAATGTATTTGCGTAATAATACAATTGAAAACAAGCACAGTGCAATCTTTCTGTAAAGCTTTTTCCATGTGGCAGGGAGTTCATACACATGTCATGGGAATCACTAGGCATCACAGCTTGTAGTTTCTGAATGGAGAACTCTGTCACATAAGAAAGTCCTGGTCCTGCTATGATCATCATTGAAGAAATGGTTCTCCTCACACAGAACAAGAAATTTGCCAGTATCACCTATTACTTGTTACTATCCAAAGATCTTGTGCTGAGTGGAGGACAACAAGAGAGCAGAAAATAAGGGAAATGTGTAAAATAATTCTTTCAAACTATTTTTAGAAAACATTTGACTAAATTGACAACTGTGATGTCTCTTCATAAGGCAGGAATCTCCAAAGCTGTGGGAAGAGGGTCTGCCCTGTGAGATGAGAAGGTGTCGGAACTGCTAGAGATTTGTACCATCTCTGTGCAGCTTTGCATCTCTTCTTTACAAAGGGCCTTGTAATATTGCTAGTTTAAGAAGCCTGCAGGTGCAGATATAGAGAAATATTCCCACTCCTAGACAGTAGAGTGTAAGTCATTCAATGCCCTTCGGACTAAAATCTGTCATTTTTTGTGCTCAAAGTGTGTGAACTAATGTGAGTACTGGGTTGTGTTCTACCAAAGAACATAGTCCATCAAAAGGTGTTTGTTTCACTTTCTGAAGAATGGCATGAGGGCACATAGAGATGTTTAAGGGTACAAGACCACTCAGGATAGTTTGGAAGTGCAGTGCAGACTGAAAAGAAATAACTTTCCCTGGAATATTCAAGACCAGGTTGGATGGGGCCCTAAGGAACCTGATCTAGTGCGTGGCATCCCTGACTGTGGCAGTGGGGTTGGAACTAGATGATCTTTGAGGTCCCTTTGACCCATGCCATTCTGTAATTATATGATTCTATGAACTCCAGTGCCTCATTCATACTGGTTTGTGTACCCTGCCCCAAACCTTGGGGATGGTTGATTGATGGTTAGTCCAAAACAGAGCAAGAACTCAACAAGGCATGACTAAGGATATAGTGGAATAGGTTTACTCCTGGCCTTTTAATACCTAACACGAGAAACATACCAGTAGCATCCTCATTAGACCTAGCCCAAGCCACTGCATCTTAAACATGACACAAGCCAGGTTAATATATCACTGTCTACACATCAGAGTGGAGATACAGCTTCTGTCAGCCAGATGAAAAGGCATTTAAAACAGCATTGTCCTTTCCTTTCCTTTCCTTTCCTTTCCTTTCCTTTCCTTTCCTTTCCTTTCCTTTCCTTTCCTTTCCTTTCCTTTCCTTTCCTTTCCTTTCCTTTCCTTTCCTTCCTTTCCTTTCCTTTCCTTTCCTTTCCTTTCCTTTCCTTTCCTTTCCTTTCCTTTCCTTTCCTTTCCTTTCCTTTCCTTCCTTTCCTTTCCTTTCCTTTCTTCCTTTCCTTTCCTTTCCTTTCCTTTCCTTTCCTTTCCTTTCCTTTCCTTTCCTTTCCTTTCCCTGTCCTTCTATGCACTATGCTTGTGTGCATAGTATCCTGGATAAAGCTTATCAAGTATTATATCCAGTATATCCAGTATTCTAAATTTCTGATTCTTGGCTGTTTCCAAACTGGAGAGCAGTCAGTCACTCTGCTGACCCCAGCACCTGAGGTGAGATTTCATCCCTTGTCTTCCCTTGCCCTCTTCTCTAAACCTACAACTCCTCTCCTTTGCTTAAATCCTTCTTGTACCATCTCTTCATGATGTTATGGTAGCCCCTAACAGCCAGCCTGGAGTTGGGCTCCCAAGAGATATTCTTGCAGTCCCTTTAACTCAGGAGTGGTACAGTGGTCTTACAGCACAGATCACCCTTTACAGACCCTTCCAGCCTGTCTACACCTTTGCTCCCATTACAGACAGACAGCTTCACCCCTGCAATACAGTCTTCTACAGGATGCTCTGACTCCCTCCCTGATTTGTATGATAACTGGCACTAGACATTTAATCCCCTAAACTACCAAGATCACTTGCAAGCATTTGGGGAGGGTGCTGCTTATCTGTCTCAGAAAGGTTTGGTTTTGACTCCTCTTAGCCTAACCTTATCCCATATCCTAGGCTGTCTGTTCTGCACATAGAATAAAAAAGGTTGTGACTCTCCAAAGACCCTCCCAGGTTTAGAGGGGACAAATAAATAGTGATGTGTTTTTGAGTGACCCCTGGGATCTATCATGTTCAGGATGCGTATTTCCAGTTATTTCTGATTACCCAGTTTGGTAGCTTTCATGTCCTTTCATGCTTTGCCTAAAGGGAAAAGATTATTCAACTATTAGGTCATCTTGTACAACTGTTTTTCTTTCTCAAGAGTTCTCTTTTCCAGAAAGGTACTTCAACCAACATTGTAGCAGAGATTCTTAAAGGATGACATACTCTTAGTAAGCTTACAGGCAAAGCGAGTGTGACCCAACACCATGTCGTACATAACAAGAAAAAAAGGCAACTTTCTTTTGCAGTTGTCTATGTAGCATCTTTCTAGATATTTCCTAACAGACTAAATAGCAATGTTTTTTCTCTGCCTTTTCAGTGTTTGCACTCACACAAATATTTTTGTGTCATTATCTTTTGTGGCATCAAGGTACCAACAAAAGACAGTAATACAGAAAAAAAAAAAAAAAGTCCATTTAAATATATGGATTTGCCAAACACATTTCCAATATAGCAAAGACAATTTCTGTCCTGTCTGATATTGCCAAAATCCTAATTCCTGCTTCAGTTTTAAATTCACAGCAATACCACTTTACTCTATGATAGCTTTAAGATTCAAACACTGAGAGGAATCTTAAGCTAATGCTTCAGGATGTGGGAGGTACTCAGCACTCCCACAGTGGGGAGTCAGTGGTCACTCCTGACTTTGTATTGATGTGGTATCAAAATGCAATAATGAAACTTGTTTTCATGAGAATTTTCTTGCTGTCATATTGACTTCAGAGGTTGGGTATGTTGTGTTTGAGCATCCATGATTTGGGGGGCAACACTGGGGCTCAATTTTTTTTTATGTCTTAATGGTTGCTCTATGGTGGCTGTGCTGTCATGGAACTAGTTGTGCAGACTGAGGTACCTGGTAGCACTGCCTATCTCGCTTTCCCCTCAGTGGCAGGAGCCCCACTAATGCCCTGCCACTGAGGTCCAACAGACACAGGTGTCCATGCATTCTTCCCCAAGCTCCCCTTTTGCTTCTGCCTACACATTGCCCTCCATGGCAAGATAACCAGCATGCGCACACTGGCTTGTCTTTCACCTAAAAGGCTGATCAATAACCAGTTGCTCTTTGCAGTAAACTTCTTTGCTTACCCGGAAACCTAAAGGCATTTAATTTGTCACCTATGGTTTTGCCTTGGTCCTGAGGATGATTTCATGTGCTAGGTGGTGATCCATCATCTTTGAATCATTCTTTCCTAACAGGTGTCATTGTCTGCAGCTCCACCCATCATCTCAGAAGTACCTTTTCCTTGGTGCTGGTGCATACTATGATTTCTTCATCATCATACTGTTAGTTGGGGACTGCACAAGGTTTTTTGTGGAAGCTTCTGGAAGAAGCAGACAGACAGACAGAAGGAACTGTTTAAGCAGCAATAGATGTTGTCATACTGCCCCTGACTCTTATATCTTGACAGTAATCCTCATTTGAAGTTTTGGTAAGTGATTATCTTGTGTGCTGTTCAGTTGTCTAGTTTTACTTTATCTTGTTCAAAAAATTCAAGCTCTGTTTATCATAAAGCAACACTTAACCTGTGTTCTCCTTTGGGAATATTTGATTTGCAAGGCCCATGACACTTATTTTGGAATGTATGGAGGCAATGTTGTTCATGAAACAAGACACTTCCACAAGGAAAATAAGCAATGTACAGAAGGCCATATTTGTTGGTCTAACTCTAGTCATTGCTTTAGAAAGATAGAACTATTCACAACCAGTCAAGTATGAGGAAGTGTCACTGCTTGATGAGTTGGCAGGACTTGCATGTTCTTTTACCATCTTTGGCTGCCTATAGATAAGTTGGCTGTGATGCAGGATGGCTACTGTAGTCTCTGACTTTGGGTGGAGTAGCCCAATAATACGAGAGACGGTATTTCCTACTGGTTAGGGAACTTGGGAGGGTGGGGGGAAGGAATGTCAGGAAATAAATAAATAAATAAATAAATAAATGACATTTACACAAACAGACTTACACACAAAGATCTGTGGCCTTTATAACACAGCCAATGCACTTGACTGTAAGGCAAAGCAGGATGAAAGGAGCTATCCTGTGTGAGTACCTGCAGACCTTAATCCAGTAGTACACATCAACAGCTAGAGCAGCCAAGGGTCAATTTTCTTTGCTTTCCTTCTCTCCTCCCCCTCCAATGAATCCAGAACCATAGCTTGGAACATGTAATTGTCAGCGGTTGCATCCACAGCAAGTTACCGTGCACCTTAAATGAAGGGGAAGGAAAATGGTATGTACCGTCAGAGGTTAATTTGCTATGTATGATGGACCCTTGGCCTACAGTAAGGGTATACAACTTCATAAATACAGGTTATTTTGGGGTGAGTTGGTCTGCAGAGAATTCTCCCTCAACATTCAGTAGGCTTCATTGTTGTAGAAACTGGGTTAGGTGTCCCTAAGCAAGGGACATGGCAGTGGTCATGTCTCAAGATGCAATCTAATTCTTAACCCATACCTAGGTCACACCTAACTCATAGGTCCAAGAACTGTGGGGGTATATTCTGGTTCCCTACAGTTCTGTCTTGCAGTGGGGTTCTCTGTTTACTTACATGTAGATGTAAACTCCATCTGTGTTTCCCCAGGACTGGGAGTTTAGGACACCTCTGCATAGCCAGGACATCCGTACTGTAGCTGCCTTCTCAATGGGGATGTTCAAAGGGCTTTTTTCCTTCATACCTGCTTGCCTCTTTGCCTAAATGGAGGAACCCAAAATCTTTGAGGTTGTTAGATCTGTCAAATCAGATTGGTTGGCCAATGGGCTAAAAGATTATTTGGAGGAGACTGACTTAGTTTATGCATACACACAAATACACACACACATGCACTATGTATGATTACATTAACCTCATTGCCTTAGGAAACTAAGCTACGAGGTGCATGAGATCGGGTTAATAGGAAAAATAGTATTCCTCACACAGACAATGTAGACAGCTAGTTAGGTCTGTTTGTACTACTGGTTGTTCACTGACATCAAGAACAAGTTTTATCAGCAGAGCAAAAGGGATGAAAGAACCCCACCTTGAAAATGTACATAAGTGACTACCATATTTTTGAAGTGTGGGTAGATTTGTAATACAATATACACATGCAGGTGAACAGAGCAGCATATATAATTTTAGTTATGTTACTCAAAACAAGTAGAATCACTTTTATTCTCCTTGCAGAAATAAAGAACAATATATTTGAGGTTTGTGGTGGGATTGTATTCCTAAACCTACCTATCTGAGTACTGTGCTCAATCTGATGAACAGTAAATCCATCCACAATATTTTCTTGTGGATGAAAAAGAATCCATTTCAACTATTGAAATCCATTTCAACTGTTGAAAACATGAAATCAAACTCTGGCCAAGCCAACTCATTCTAAGCATCCCCTTACAGATGATTATAGGCTATGTTTGGCGCTGCTCCTTGTTGCACATGGAACAAGATGCTGTGGCTGATCCTCTAACCTATATGCTGTCGTAGTGGTCACAGAGTGGTTACAAAATTTCCCACGGCTCCAGATCTGTTGTGTGGATGCTGGACAAGTGGTAAGATGCTGTTTCTAGTCCTAAAGTTTAGCCTCATGCCAAGTTTTTTGGGGGGTGACTTGTTCTGTAGATAATTCCTCCCAGGCATTTGATATCCTTCGATGTTGTAGGAATTAGGTTAGGTGTCAACTGAAATCCACAGTCCTGTTGCTGTAACTGTAAACTGCTGAAGTTAACTTGCAGACAGGAAGAATCAGATACATAAATTCATCTTGACTCACACAGTACTTGGTAGACAGTAGAATAGTATTTGATAAGAGCAAGGATGGCAGCACTTAGCTCTGAGTTATATCTACAGAACTATTTCCTTTTAAGTTTAAGTATTGAAAGTACTAAATTGTTGTGCACACCTAAGTTCATTATATTCATGTCTGCTTTCATAAATGTCTGCATTTACCTCTCCAAACTTGAGTTAGATTCTGGTAAGTGCAAAATATTGTAAAGTCAGTTTTGCATTCTCATAGTTAATGTTTTAATGTCTGTCTTCAGTTTTATGCTACCACAGATTTGGCAATTCACAGGCAAAGATTTTTTTTTTCCCAGCTCCCAATCATATCATAAGCTCCACAGGTTTATAAGCAGCATTTATTCTGATGGCATTCTCTAATGCAGAGAGTGGGTAGAAAGATGCCTAACAGAAGAGAATTGCAACTCTCAAAGACAAATTTAGCACAGATAATTTCTAATAGAATAAAGTTTTACTATATTGTGGGAGAAAATTTTCAAAGGCTAACTGGCAACAGATCGCAATTGTGTGAAAGCTGCTCTAAACTGTACATGCCAATCTGCTTGGGATTGCTGGAACTGAGCAATGGTCCAGGGAGAACTTTTCTTGGCATGCCCTGCTCTCAGCCCCCTCTAAATCTGGTCTTCACAAAGAAGTAGTGAAAAGAAAGGCATATGGAAATCTCTTCCAACTTGTCCTTGTAGTTGTCCTACAACTAACTGAACTTTAAGGGAAAGTTAGTTCTCGCTTTCTGAGAAGTAAAGCAGCCTCTGTGTGGAAGATGACCAGGAACATCTTATGTTGCACTGGAGGGGTTTCCTGGAATGAACGACCACAGTCCCTTTCTCTTCTTCCTAAGCAGATTTATTCATTAGAACCTGGTATTGCATGCCACAGGCATTCAAAAATGCCTCATATACAAATGATGTGATTAGTTTTAGGAGTCATGTCATCTTAATAAATATGGGTGCTGCTTTTCTGCCTTTTGGCAGTGCAAATACAGATACCCTTTTTAAGGTTTTATTTATTTATTTATTTATTTATTTTTATGAGAGAAAAGGGATTTACTTCATCTATTTTATTATTTTTTACCAGTCATTTCAACACCAGTTATTCACCTGCAGAACCAATGAGTATGGCATTCTGTTTTAAAATATGTGGAATGGAGTTCTCTGTTAAATACTGGTAGAGATTTCAAGAAAGATAACATATAACAGGTTTCACACTCAAACAATTATCATCAAAAATATTTACAATCAAGGACTAAATGACATACAGCAAGACCAGTGACCAGTTACAGCACAACACTCATAGCATGCATTGGAATCAGACAGACTTCAAAAAAGAATTCCAGACAGCAAGATTGAAATCAAATAATTCCCTTGTCAGATAAGAGCATCATAAAAATGCCCTTAGAGAAGTTTCAGGACCATGGAGTACTGAACATCTCTGAAAATTTGAAGGTTGTAAGAAATACAGGGAAGTATGGAGAGTGATCAGTGCATTTGTAATGGAGAAAGGAGATGGGGGATGCTCTAGAGTTCAAAATGCCTTTAAGGAAACTTAGCATAGTCAACCAGCAAAAGCTTGATTAGGAAAATTCTGTCGTAATGTACTATACATGTAGACTTGGCAAACAGACCATCTTACATCAGGACATTTTTACCTTCTGAGAAGTGCTTATCTCAGTTCAATTATAGTTTTGGACTGAACACAGAATTTTTAAGTTTGTACCACTTGAATGGAATTTTTTTTTTTTAACACCCCTACAGCTGGCAGGCACTTCCATGGTGTTCAAATCCTACCATGGAGAAGAAAGACTCTGTTGACTCCTATGGGCTCTGGTTCAGGCCCCCCAGCAACTGGACACCTCAATTAATTTTCTTTTCTCAAACCAAACTTCCAGAAGAAGCCTCAGTAGGTGAGTATCTCTGTCCTCCTGAAGCTGCATAGTCCAGAGCAAGGCCACCAAAGCTCAACTGATACATCCACCCTACCACAAGCTCTTCAGCAAAAAGCAAAAAAAAAAAAAAAAAAAGAACTATGCAAGAACTATGCTATTCCTGATGCCTAATTCATATGGAAATTCTTGGCTTCAAATTGCTGGTGTGTGTTGGTATGCAATCTCCTTTTAATCAAGTGACAAAGGCTGCTTTTTTTTTTTTTTTTTTTTTTTTTTTTTTTTAATTCAGGCCTGGTAGCAAACTATAATAATTCACTAAGAGCACTTTTCAGATAAAGGTCTCAAATACCATGTTTAAAATTTCACAAAACTCTTGTGAGGTAAAAATTAATAACTGGCTTGCATTTTGCTCCAGGAAGGCAAGAGGCCATTCGCAAATGTAGGCCTTGGTGTTTTGTCCAGTGTGAATACAAGGTAGCTGGTGTTGAGTTGCACATGTATGTTTTGCCTGCTAGTCACAAGCTTTAGCCATTGGGCTCTCCTGTCTGGAGTGATTGAGTGCTGCAGTCAAGGTGTACTACAGACCGTAGCACAGGTCTTGCAGAAGAGGCAGGCTCTGGCCACCAGGCAGACTGGCTTTTGTTGTCTTTCTTGAGAACTTTTTTCCATAGTCCCTAGTTAACACTTGGAGGTTATAACAACCTAAGCAGTAAACAGAATAAAATGCAGAACTCCTAATAATAGTCACAATGGACTGAAAAATACCAGCTTTAATCCTTTCTGTGGCCAGTTTCTATATCCAGCATCTATAAAACCTTATTACTGAAGTATTAAAATATAGCAGATGTTGGTCAAGCATTTCTACAGACTTAAAGCCATGCTTCCGTAACCCCCTATTCCTCGTGGAGTAAGCAACTGGGGAATGGCAAAACTTTCTTGTGTGTTTTATGAAGGTAGTAACCCTTGAGTGAGCTGTTTTAAGAGCAAGACAAATTCTCTTCTGAAATGATTAGCAGAGGAAGCCTCTGTAGGAAGTTGCTGACCTGCTGCAGATGCTTGTGCTCTTCTACAATTATCCCATCTCTTGTAGCTTGTTGGCTTAGTAGTGGATCTGATGTCATTTGGGAATGCTTGCTTTGTTTTTGGCAAGTTCAACTCACTTGGCTTCTTGTGAGTTAGTGTGTATGGATCGTCTATTTGTGTTGTTTGTACCATGTTTTATCATGTGATTTCTCCTCATACTGCGTTAAGCAACTCAACTAGTTATCTGTCACATTTGTGCACAGGAACGTTGAGGCAAGCTTTATTTTTTCAAATACAAATACTAATCAATTAATTAAATGTTTATATACAATAAAAAAAACAGGAAATTATTTTCTGCCAAGAAGTATATAGTATAAGAGTATAAAAGAGAGTATAAAAAAAAAAATAAAACTGTTGTTAAATTTAAACACTACTTTTCTTAAAATCATGGACTATTTATATTCCTATATACAAAAAGTCAGTCATATTCCTAGAAAGTGTTTAATATTTCTGAAGCAGTTTTAACTCTTACAGGATTCTCCTTTCCTTATCTTTTTCTACATGCAGAGTGATGTGCTCTCTTCAGGCACTGTTCTTGTATGTACAGACTGAGTCATCCATTCAGGGAATAGGAAACATGCTCGCACTCTGAGTCACTGGACAAATACAGAATGCCAAGCATCAAAAATGTAGAAGAGTCTTTGCTTCAAAGAACTTTCGGAAATTGAATGTTTCTTAACTATTACAAGCAGTTGTTGAGCAATTCTGACAAATCTGTAAAATTCATCACTGTCTTGAGGATAGGAAAAGGAGCAGTTCCAAGAACAGATGAACTAATGAAACCTAATTTCCTATAAATATCTATTTCATGATTATTGTCTTTGGTGTTTGAAGAGGATAAGATTGGTGGAAACTTGCTGCATTGCAGAACACTTCTCTCTGAGGGGACTTTATGGAATCTAATGAGAATTATGCCAGTCTTTCTCACTAGAGACACATTACTGGGGTGTCTGCTGAGGTAAAATTTGTCAGTACACTCAGAAATTAAGGTGGGTAGACAGATGGACACAGAGCGCTACAGTTAGGTTAATCTATGTAGTCTCTGTTTCTTCTCAGAAAGCAGGTTAGAAGAACCTTATATATTTGGTAATCTGGCAGTCACCAAACTAGAACTGGTGCCTGAAGCATTAGTAGTAGCAAGGAGGGAGGTGCTACTGGAAGAGAAATTCAGGGTGATCCTGTAATGCCTAACGTGCTGAAAGACAAAGCAATAAAGTCAGTCAGACAGTGATAAAGTTATTTGCCTGCATATGAATATATGCTTAATCTGTAAGACTGCATTACCTAATAAAGTAACAGTTTCATTCAGAGTCAAATGCAGCCTGGTAGCTTGAGGAGTAGTTTCCTGTATAAATCCACAAAAGCAATGAGAAATTGAACTGACCTGGTTATGCCTGGTACTGTCTGGTTATGGAATGTCCCAAAGCATGCTGAGATGTTTGTGTTCAGTCACTGATCATTATTTGAGCACTTTTTTTATCTTTTTAATTAACTTTTATATTATTATTATTTTACATAATTGCTATGAATAGCTTCTGAATTCAAGAAGCCATATAAGGTGCAAAGTTAGCTTATACTATTTCTGATGATGAACAGCACTGCTCATATGTGCCTGAACTCTTGTCTGCATGACAGTATGGATCAGTTAGAGTAAGGAGCCTCTTCCTTTTGGGGTGGAATAACCCTCAGCTTCTTACTGTAGTCAGGATACTGCAGGTAGTGTAATTGTACCAGTTCTGTTTAGTGTGTGCTAATTGGCTTGGCACGGATGGCAAAGATTTAAAACAACCTGCATAAAATTTGACAGGAACGTGACATGAAATTTGGAGTAAAGGCCTAGAAACTGGCCAGGTTGTAGAGAGGTAGAGCATCACCAGAGATATTTCTCTTAATGTGATGTTTAATTTCATGTGTTTGGACCCCTCTTTGTAGATTATCTAACAAGCAGACATAAAACAAGACTCGGTTGTGTACCACATGTGAGCTGCTGTATGGCTTGAAATGGTGAGGTGTACCTCAGACAGTAAAAAGATTATTGCTTGTATAAAGATCTCAGCAGAAAGCCAGCTGCAGTGCCATGTACTCATGATATGCTATGCCTGTGAGATTTGTCTCTGATGAAATAGTATTAATAACCTGATCTCCTGCAGGAGGACTCTGGGAGTGTGAAAATTACAAAGCATGGAACCATCTGGAATAAACTTTTCAGATTGCTTGTAAAATTGTACTTAAAGTTGGGGAAATTAATCTTCCCCACAACAGGTTTTCCTTTTGTTTCCTTTCTCCTCCCATGGCTTTTCATTTCAGCATTTCCAAAGATAGCAATTTAAAACTCTGTGGAAGAAGCCAGGCCACTCACTGCTGATGAAAGTGTTGAAGGAGACACGCTTCTGGAACCTGGCCACAAGCCACACTGCGTTTCGTCTAGCAAGGCTCAGAGTGTTTTCTCAATGCTGTTAATTATACAAGGCCTTGAAAGAAGAGAGCAACTATGTTAAATAAAAATCCAAATTCTCTAGAAACTGGGAACTATTTTCTCTCTCCCTCTACTGTGAATATTAAGTTTTCTGTCACTCTCTTACCCTAAAGAATTGCTAGCAGCGCCACAAGCTCTTGAACATCCTGGGGGCCTCCTGGCTCCACTGCCAGCCACCCCAAACATCTCAGCCCAGGAGCAGCCACACCAGCAAGCACGGAGCAAAATGGCCTGCTGGTTGCTTGTGCGCACCTGTGCAGACCTGCGCTGCTATTTGAATGTGCACTCTGCAAATACTGGCAGTACCACCCAGACTTCATTAGCCTAAGGTGATCAGTACATTTCTGTGCATGGGAGTGTCTGCATTTTATGTATTACTATGGCTTGCCTGGGTGTGTATATATTTGTTTGTGTGCTTGCCCTGTAATGATACAACCCATCTTGCATGTATATTTTAAAATAATTTATAAAGTGAATGTAGGTACCATTATCTGCACCACACGGCAGAGGAAACTGAAGTGGAGGGTCGGAGGTTATGCCCTTTGCTGGAGGATGCAGAGCAAGTCATTGGCAGGCTGGGACACCAGATTTCTGGCATGAAGCCTGCAGTCTCCACTAAGCCACGTTACTTTCTGTGTTTATTCATTTTAGGAAGCATCATGAATTGTAGATTATCTAACATGCATTCATTCCAGTTGTGTTCAGAAAGCCCCATGGCACTGGAGAGAGGAAATTTTATTCCTTTGCCTAATGACCTTTGCCACTGCTGCTGCTACTGACAGCAAGACTTGAGATCAGCAACAATTCGTGTTGACTAAAGTCTGACCTGCAAATAGCAGCTAACAAGAGCACTTATGCATCCTTTACCAAATGTTTGATGGAGTGACCTGCCAAGTCCAGCGACATTCACTTCCAGTGACCATAGCAGGTGGTCAGAGACCCAATTATGACCTGGAATGCTAAACTAGAGTCCTGCAGAGGACCTGATCCAGCAATTAGTCCAGACCTCTGCCTTGCTGCAGGTTTATTTACAGTGATCACTTGCATATATTCATTCTGGAAATTATTAGTTTTGTTTAGTACAGTAAAGCTTACTGGAAAGCAGTTTTTTGTTTGTTTGTTTGTTTTTTTGCTGTTTGATGACTTTCAGGTTTTGAATATGAGTGCACTTTTTCATTCAGAATAAAAATTTTCACCAGATTTTTCAGTGAAAGTTTGAATGAATCTCTTCTGGGAGTGACAGATTTTGTCCATGACATCCTTTTAATCTTTAGGCACAATAGTAGAGGAAGTCTAGAAATAAAAATAATTCCCAACCAATAAATTGAATAATTTATTTTTCAAAATGTCTGAAACAGACCAGAAGGAGTATTTTGGATTTATTCAAAATCTTTGGGAAAATTGAAACAGCACAATGCATTTTCAGTATGGCCTATTCCGTACTTCTCACAGAAAGCTAAAATTTGCATGACAAATGTGCCCACCTCCAAAGTAGACTGTAAACTGAGAGAACCAACTAAATAAATCACTTTGCAAGAGACAAGTACTTTCCTTTGGTCTTTTTTTAGACTGCAAGCCCCTTAGGGCAGGGATAGTCTTCTTTTTATATCATCTATTAGGCCAACCCACTGCTGAAACTCCAGAAGTAATAGTTTCTACCAGACTTGATTCACATCATAAAATCAGCTTGTGCCCTCTCGTTGACACCTCTACGTAAATAGGAACTGCACAGATATTTAGACTGGATGTTGTTTCATTTCAAGTGGAGGTAGACAACACTGTGCAGACTGTGGCATTTGCTCATTTAAATAATGTTTTTTATTCCTTTCTCAGCTCTCTTAATCACATTTGAACATCTCACTGTAGGTTGTGAACTGCAAGCAATACATGAAATTAAAGTAGTCAAAGAACCTAAGTGTACTTTTGTGATATATTACATAAGTTAATTTCAACACTAACCCATCTTTAAGCTGTGAAAAAAGTTCAGTCACACCAAAAATAAGTAAGAAAAATAAGAGATTTTTTTTTATGTGAAGATAAGGTGGACAAGCTTGAAACAAACTCCATTTCTTCTCTTTCCCCCTCTGCCTTTCTGCCACCCCTTCAGTACTCCCCCCCTCCCCAGTATACACACACAAAAATCAATTACAAACATAATTCATGAGACTATAATCTGATGGGTTTGATCTCTTCTTTTGTAGTGGTGCTAGCAGACAGGTTGGACCACTGGGCATAGAGAACAGAGCAGTTTCTGATTTACTATACACTCTGCTTTTCTACGGTAAAAAAAGAAAAAAGTGCATGCAGAAGTCCTCAAAGATACAATGCTGTCTCTTTTCTTTCTCCACCATAGCAAACTGTTTTATGAAATCTGCTTGAGATGAAGGAATGTCAGGCAACAAATGTTGCTGGTCCTAAGTATCCTTGTCTTTTGTGAAACTGTTGGGATCTGTGGCAGTGTGCCTATGGCGGACAGTCTCCTAGTACTGCTTGACGCTGTAATGCTTCTGCACGTGGATGTACGCATGGACAGGTTTGATAAGGAAAGAGAGGAGTGCATTCTTTAAGTAACCTGTCAGTATCTTGTTCCAGCCATTTGATGGAAAATAAGGTGAAGAGTTTGTCCTACAGCCATGTAAATCAACAGGGTTGTGTTAACTTGGGCAAGCTTTAATACAGACTGAAGTGCTCTGCACGGCTTTCCTTATTTTGCTCATTGTTATGCATTGTTTTCCTAATATCATGCATACATTGTGTTAAGCAGAGATTTACATATTCAATATTATTAAGATAGTGCTCCACATTAAAGGCTGGATTCCGAAGCCTTTACTCATGATCAGTAGGTCACTCCTCTGTGAGTAATATCTTGGAGAACAGGGAAGCTCCTAGTGAAATGAAGCACTATTTAACACGGGGTCAAGCTTTAGAGCCTATCCCTATAACATTAGGAACAAATGTTGTCTCTTTCCCTCCTGTACTTCTGTATTACAGATTCTGGCTGGGTCTGCATCACACAGGAGTGATTTACACAGCCAACTACAAGAAGCATGTGGGTGGCAGCCTGGTATCAGAGCTGAACTGGGGGAACACAACACAAATATCACCCACCTCTCATGGATATCTCAGAAATCTAGCAGCCCTTAGATGCCTGTCACTCCTCAATTATTTTCTGCAGATTGATGAGCGTGTGGCCCACTCCATGAGCTCAGTGAGAGAGCAGCACCTGAGGGGGCACCAGGAAATTCACTCCCTTCTATTCAAAACAAGCTCTGGTGGTGGTGGATGAAGGCCATTCCTTCAACAGAGGAAAGAGAAGAGCTGTACTGTATATGCAAACACCTGAGAAGGTGGGAAAGAGTGCCTAAGGACTTCCACTTTTGCTTTCTAGCTTCAGTTCAGTACAATGGGAAATCAGCTGTACCATGTCAAAAAAAAAAATGATGTTTCCATGACAATTCTCCCATCACTCCCATCTCCCAAAAGCTGCTGCAGTGTTAGACCTTTTTGGAGAGACTGATTGAACTTGTGTCCTTGTATTTAACAGTCCTCAAAGAAATTGAAAGCTCTGATGAATTCATATTTTTTGCTCACGTCTGTCATGACATGCTGTGTTGATGAGTTCCAGAGCTAAGCTGGGCACTGAGTGCAAAATCACAGCTTTGATAAAATAATGTTGCTCCTGACTGTGGGCTACGGGGCCTGCAGGAGGTGACCCGTGACCTCTGCTCTTCTTGGGCAAGTGAGTTTCCCAACGTCCTGGCCCTGTTCCCAGCAAAACTTGTAGCAACCCTGTTGCTATTTGGGTGGGAGGTAGTTATTAGCATCAGACCCAGATTTATAAAGATACTGAAGTTTTTGGTTCCTACCAGAATCAGTGCTAGGATCCTCACTATCTTCTTAAAAAATAAAATTAAAAAAAAAAGATCTGTGCTGTGTTGCATATGAAGTCTAATCTGCTAGCTTTGAGTTGAGGCATATTGGTGAAACATTGGAAGAGAGCTTGCAGGACTTGTTATACTTGTTCTGTGAATAAGACAAGGCTTTCTATTTCCCAGACCATCGTTCTGACAAATTTTACAGGCACTAAAATAAACAAACACCTTTCCTAGGAAATGCTGCTATTAAAAATGATCTGACTGGATTTTTTTTTAAAGAAGGGAAGAGGCTCAAACACATCATTCCACTCTGATTACCAGTGGAGGGGAAATATTTGTGTTTAGGAGTTGCCGGTAGGCTCATGTACAACCATTATGCAGTTAAACCCCTCTGAGCTCATTGCCCTCTTTCACACTGGGCTCTCTCTGAGTAGCCATAAGCAGGCTCCACATCTGTACTGACTGCAGCTGGAGCTTACAACCTCTGTCCCTGCTCCCCCAAACATACAAACCACTGGCCTCCCCCAAGCTTTCACCCTGCTTCTAACCCCTCCTAGAAAATGAAGTGTCAGATGTTCGTATTAATGTAGTGGTTAACCAGCCTGTGGTAAGAACCCTTTACCCGACCAGCTTGATTTATACAGCACTCATCACCACACCAGTAATTAAGAGAGTACAGAACAGCAATACCAATGCCATATTGCATCGACTTCGCCATCTTTCGATTTCAGGGATAAAACGCCACTCAAGAAATGAGAGTGCAGCGGGTCTTTCAAACAGTAAACACCCTCTTGGGTATACCAAACCAAAATTATAGTGAAAGGTCACAATTTTAAGCATATTTAACATTCCTAAAGCTTGACCTGGCTGCAAAGCACCATGTAGACATTAAGTGTTTAGTTTCTAACAATGACACTATTTGTGCTACCTGTTATCCCTATTTTGCAGGGGGGAGGTTGGGCTGAGGCAGTCTTACAGCTTAAAAGGCCCTGGCTCCTAGTTCAGCCTCCAAGTTTTTGGTCTGCAGAGGAAGATTTTCCTTATTCGGGAAAACTTTTTTTTTTTTCCCCCCACTTTTTGCACTGGTAAGGCACACGGGTCTCCCAGAACGGCAGTGACAAGCTCCCACTTGTGTTCCTGAGTGTTTCCATTGCAATTCTTATTTTCCTTTTGCTGCTTTCTCTCTGCTAAGTAAAGCTTGGCGTTCAAGTAAGGTCAATCTTCTGACTCTTGAGAAACTGGAAAATAAATGCGACCTCCTTGGTTTCTTTTCCCAAGGGGAGTCTGTGTGAGCTGGCCGACTCTGCAGGGAAGCCCTCTGACTTCTGTGTGGGCTTGCTCAAGTAGGTCTGGCTTCTGTTGTACTTTATGTTAGCTCAGGGGTGAGATGCAGAGATAAAAACAGAGGTCAGGAGCAGATCTGTGAATGACAAACATCAGGATCATGCAGCGCATATGCCTCTCCCATTAGCCATAACAACTTTCTTAACCTTGAACCACACTGATGTCCTGATACAGTCTCTTTGAGCTTTTTAAAAGAAAAAAAAAAAAAAAAAAAAAAAAAAAAAAAAAAGAGATTTCAGAGATGTCAGACATACTACATACTCTAGAGTTTTCAGACATACTACAATGTACTCCAATTCAAATAAGGTCATGGAGTTGCACTCTCTAAACATGTCATTATTACTGAGGTGCTAGCAAGGACATCAAGGTCACATTTCAACTGTTTCAAGTCAGGCCATGGCAGCTTCTTGCCAGCTTCCTGTTTTTCAGCCTGGAAGGAAGATTCATACAGCCACTCAGTCTATTAGTCCCTATCCCTGTTAACTAATTCTAACCAAATTCCATGGAAGAGTAAGGACATTGCAAACCATGTGAAACTTGGCAGTAGGTAGAGACAAGAGGATGCAGCCCACAGCAGCTCTCTGCTCTGTTGCCATCAGCCCACATGGCCAATTAACTTGCATCTGTCTCTGCACAGGTTTGCTCCAATCCTGCTGGCATTGCAGGGTACAAGAGGGTATTGCAGATGACAAAGAGCAAAGCAAGAAAGCAGAGTCTTTTGTAAGACACCAGCCAGCTATAGTTCCATTGCTCAGAGGCCCAGGCACTTGCTTTCCTTCTGCTGTGGCCATATAGAAAACAGGCAAGATTTTAAACCACTCATCCATTTGCAGGCTTGTCTGCAATTCCTGCAAGATCCTCATCTCAAATTAATAAATTAGGCAATGTGAGTAATAAAGAGGCATTTGATCACCCAAATAAACCAGAAAAGCCAAAGTATCAGTTTGCACAAGCAAGCGCTCACTGGCTGAGTGAGGCCTAGGCAATGTAGCGTGAATGCATGAAGGAAGAAGATTATTGAAGTTTAAATTGATAAAACCTTGAGAAAGCTTGAGTCATCAGTGATAAATTTCAGTGTCTTCAGAGGAAATTAGTTTTAAAGGAAAAGAAGCTGTTTTAGGATGTATTTAAAGTATCAAATTGCATGTATTTATGCCCAAGTCACTTTCCCACTCCCACAGACCGGGAATAGAAGTTGTGGTCCTCGTTTGCCTCTTTGAAAACTGCAGCATCAGTTCTTTTACAGTCAAATAAGCAGTGAGCTCAGGAAGGAAGTAGGTCTGGAGAAGTTAATGTTTTTGTGATGGGTCTGATTTTTTCAATT